AAAACTCAAACTTTTTTTCCTTGGTTCTTTCCGTAAAGTTACGTAGATAGAAAATACAAATATTATTATTTTCAATTTATTTTAATTTAAATTTTATTTTTATTTTCTATCTACGTGACTTTAACGAAAGAACCAAACATATGAATTCCTGCAGTCACGAAAGTTTTAAGTCGAAATTTTAACTCAACTTTGTTTTTTTTTCACCAGGCAAGGTCTCACACTGAGCGACGTGGCTCATCGAGGTGGCTCACCACCATCATCATCATCACGTGCGAAATTTGCAGCAGCCAAATATTCTAATAGCGTGACATCGATTCTAAATGTGGAGGGGGGAAAAACCGGAGGACCCGGAGAAAAATCCACGCGGCCACGCGGTCAGAGAGAGACAAGCAAACTCCAATTATACAACAGGTGTCAGGGTCGGGATCAACCCCACGACCTCCTGTATACCAGGCGAGATAGTTAACATCTCCTATCCACCGTGGAGCCCCAGGTCAGCCAGAAACATGAGCTGAGAACGCTGAAAATCGAACAACGACGAGCGGAGAGAGCGAGAGAGAGCGTTCTGCGCAGTGCTGGGAATTACGCATGAGGCACGGGCGCAAGGCACGGGCATGGCTAAAGGAAAGTTTTCAATCGGTGCAACGATCGATTCCGCCGACGTGGCAAGGGCCGGGCACACCGGGGCAGGGCCACGTGGGCAGGCAGGGCCGCGGGCACACCGGGGCAGGGCCACGTGGGCAGGCAGGGCCGCGCGTGCTCCCACAGCCCCGTGCAGAGCGCCGAGGAGGGGCGGCAAGACCGCCAGCGGCGCTGGGCACCGCCGACGCCGCACGAGGAAGAGGAGCACGGGGACCAGGGGCCCCAGCTGGACCATGACGATAGCCCCGCTTCAGTAGAGGCAGACGTACACACGCAGGCATGCAGACACGCACGGGCAGACACACACGTACACACACAGACATGCAGACACACACAGACATACACAGACATGCAGACACACACAGACATGCAGACACACACGGACATACACAGACGTAAACACACAGACATATACACACACAGACATGCAGACACACACGGACATACACAGACGTAAACACACAGACATATACACACACAGACATGCAGACACACACGGACATACACAGACGTAAACACACAGACATATACACACACAGACATGCAGACACACACGGACATACACAGACGTAAACACACAGACATATACACACACAGACATGCAGACACACACGGACATACACAGACGTAAACACACAGACATATACACACACAGACATGCAGACACACACACGGACATACACAGACGTACACACACAGACATGCAGACACACACGGGCATGCAGACACACACGGACGTACACACACAGACATGCAGATACACACGGACATGCAGACACACACGGATATACACAGACATACACAGACGTACACACACAGACATGCAGATACACACGGACATGCAGACATACACAGACGTACACACACAGACATGCAGACACACACGGACATACACAGACGTAAACACACAGACATATACACACACAGACATGCAGACACACACGTACACACACAGGCATGCAGACACACACGTACATACACAGACGTACATACACACAGACATATACACACACAGACATGCAGACACACACGTACACACACAGACATGCAGACACACACGGACATACACAGACGTACGCACACAGACATGCAGACACACACGGACACACACAGACGTACGCACACAGACATGCAGATACACACAGGCATGCAGACACACAGACAGTGCTAACGTTTACACACCGCACCAGGTACTCACATTCAAGGCTGAGTTGACCTCGGGGGAGGCTCAGGACTGAGTTTGCATGATTGTGCGGCCAGCACCACGCCACTCGCACACGAACCACGGATGAGATTATGAATTAAACACCGGATTTTTCTCCGTTTTATAATCACCGCGTCGGCGTGCGCGACTTAGCCTGCGTGTCAGCGGTGAGTTTTTAAATGAATTGTAAATCGTAAATGTTCGCTCTCTGCTGGAAATTTAACGGAGGTTTCGGGAGCAGCCTCGCTCGATTCCACGCCACCTCGGAATCGTTCGAAAATGTCGTGTTCGTGGTCAGAATGTTTGCGTGTGGATCTTGTTATGATCGCGGTGATGCGGTCGAGATTACGGCTGCGGTGGTGCAGTCGGGATGACAACTGCGGTTGTTTACACCATTGAAACCTCATTTGCCAGTACAAAATATGATAATTGTGTTTTTACCCTTCTATCTGGCAACAAAACTGACACCTTTTTTTACAAGGAGTCATGTTTACATAGACCACAATACCTGCGGTCATAATGCAAACAAAAAACATAACTCTGATAATGTATGCACTGTCCTTGAAGTTGATTGGTCCACACCCGAGACAGCTTTCCTTAGAGCCTAGTCTCACATGGGTTGGACCAGATGACGCCAAAAGGCGCACAACTCAAAGACAATGCACCATCAGAGTATGAGAGCTCGGGGTAAGCATTTACACCATTTAAACCTCATTTTCCAGTAAAAACTTTATCAGAGTTATGTTTTTGTTTGCATTATGACTGCAGGTATTGTGGTCTATGTAAACATGACTCCTTGTAAAAAAAAGGTGTCAGTTTTGTTGCCAGATAGAAGGGTAAAAAAACTATTATCAACTGCGGTTGTTGTTGTTGATTGTTCGTTGCTTATTGCTCGCTGTTGTTTGTGGTTCATATTTGTTGTCTGCTGCTGCTGTTGTTGTTGTTACCGGGGCATCCCGCCAGGCTGCAGGGCTTGCTCTGCTTGAGCGGCCCCGCACAGCGGTGACCCCTACTCGACCCCGTGCGGGAGCAGGCGCGCTGGCGCTCCCGGCTGCCGCGTCCGCACGTGAGCGAGCAGAGGCTCCAGGGGCTCCAGTGGAGCCACGCGCCGTGCACTGTCAACAGCGGCAACAGCAGCAGCAACATCAGCATCGTCATCATCATCAGCAACATCAGCAGCAACATCGTCATCAGCAGCAGCAGCATCGTCATCATCAGCAGCAGCATCGTCATCATCAGCAGCAGCAGCATCGTCATCAGCAGCAACATCAGCAGCAACATCGTCATCAGCAGCAGCAGCATCGTCATCATCAGCAGCAGCAGCATCATCATCATCAGCGTCATCATCAGCAGCAGCAACATCAGCAGCATCGTCATCATCATCAGCGGCATCATCAGCGTCAGCAGCAGCAGCATCGTCAGCAGCAACATCGTCATCAGCAGCAGCAGCATCGTCAGCATCATCATCATCAGCGTCATCGTCATCATCAGCAGCAGCAGCATCGTCAGCATCATCAGCAGCAGCAGCATCGTCATCATCAGCAGCAGCAGCATCGTCATCATCAGCAGCATCGTCAGCATCATCATCATCAGCGTTATCATCAGCAGCAGCAACAGCATCGTCAGCAGCAACATCAGCAGCAGCATCGTCAGCATCAGCAGCAGCATCGTCAGCATCATCATCAGCGTCATCATCAGCAGCAACAGCATCGTCAGCAGCATCATCATCATCAGCGTCATCAGCAGCAGCATAGTCAGAATCATCATCATCAGCGGCAGCATCGTCAGCAGCAACATCATCATCAGCGTCATCATCAGCAGCAGCACCTCCGATTAGCACGGTTGGCTACGTACGGTGCGAAAGGTCAGCGTACATGCATCATCATCAGTGTCATCATCAGCAGCAGCAGCAGGGTTATCGGCATCATCGGCAGCAGTATCACCTCCGATTAGCAGCACCTGTGGTTAGCACGGATGGCTATGTACGGTGCGAAAGAAGTTCAGCGTACATCCATCATCAGCAACAGCATCACCTCCGATTAGCAAGGTTGACTACGTAGATAGACCATCGTCAGCAATTGATGCGTCGTGACCATCATCAGCGCCAGTAGTATCAACACCATCACTATAACGTGGATACCACCACTTCTATTATCATCTCCACAATCATCGTCACATGGACACCACCACCATCATCACCTACACTACCATGGCCAGGTACGGGTACCCGTTTGCGACCCTGGTGCGGCTGGGTACGGGTAAGGAATCAAAACCCGTTTGCGACCTCTGGTGCCTCCAGAGATTGAGTGAAAAGTTGTTTCATTTGTGAATGCTGAATTTGATTTGTTGTTAGCCTTCTCAAATAAATTGTATTGTTCTTTAAATTGATTTTCCTTTTAAAAATATTACTGGGGGGGGGGGGGGGGGGCTCACAGTAACCTGTGTAGCCCAAGGGCCTACACAATCTGAATCCGGCCCTGCATACATGATGACCCTACTGCTTGTGACGGTGGTTCTTAACCCGGAGTGCACGCACCACCCTGGGGGTTACGAGATGCCCTTTCTGGGAGTGCGAGACATGCCAGAGATTATTTTTTGCTAGGAGATAAATCCATTCTGTAGGCATGATACATCTTAGGGTTAAAGCAACTGACCTACTAAGGGCGTGCGAGAACATATTGATTGATTTTGAGAACCAAACGGGTGCAGACTGCGGTAAAGATAAAGAAGCAATGCTTGATGGTAATTTAGAAAGAACAAAAAAAATTAACCCGTAAAAACTAAGTTTTTCACTATAAATCCTTTATATGCGTGGCAGCTAGAGTCCTCTCGTCCTCTGGCTTGAAATGGCTGCCACCTATGGGTCAGATGATTGCCTGCCACCATTAAGCAATTGGTAATTAAATATAATTTATTTTTTTCCTAAAAAGTGTAAAATTTTGGAACAAAAAATTTCACGAAAATAAATTGTCACGCACAACGAGTCTGTGTGCAAAATGTCAGCTCGATTGGATCACCGGAAGTGGGTTAAAAAACGACCGAAAGATTTGCACGGTCGTAAGCGCGCAAGCAAGTGAGCTTAATATAAAGGATTTAAAAAGATGCGTCTTATAACCGGGTAGAATGCGGTACTGTGGAGAGCTACTATCTTCCAGAAGATGATCGTGAAGGTGCTGCTTTACAAAGGTGAGGGGGGGGGGGATGATGCCTTCTTGAAGATGATTCTCAACGGCTGGTGGCGTCTTCTGCTCCGCCGCATTATCGGCTACGGAGGGAGAAAGCGTCTTGCGGACGGTGATCGTGAACGGGACGGGGGCACGTCCTCCATGAAGAAGATTACGCGGTCTACTCCAGATAATCATCAGTTTACCTTCCCTCCCCGCATGCACCACCCACGACTTTTGCTTTCAAATACAGGCGGGGAAAAATGTGTCTTTTCACGGACGTTTTTGTTGTTGTTGTTGGAGTTAGATCGCGCAAATATAAATGTGTCAATCTTGATTTGAAGCTTTTGTGACTGCAGGAATCCATACTCTTTGGTTCTTTCGGTAAAGTCACGTGGGTAGAAAATTTAAAAAAATCACGACGTTTCGATCGCAACACAAGCGTCCGTCATCAGGTGGAACAGATTCGTGACTTTAGCGAAAGAACCAAAGAGTATAAATGTATCGTAAAACCCGCCACCACCCGTCAACACCGTCAATTAGTAAGGATTGTCACGGAAACAAACCCGTGGCAATTTAGTTACTAGTTCACCACTCGTCCGTGTGTGTGTTGGAGAGTAATCCCACAACATTCGCCTCCTTCCGATCCTCTCTTAAAGCCGCAAACTCTTCTCCGTGGCTCCACCACTCCACTCCCTCCCGTCCCTCCCCTAAAGCCCATTCGTGATCCACAAGTACTTTTATATCTTACTCTTTAGGTCTTTCAGCAAAGTCACGGAGATAGGTTTAAAGAAAATAACAAAAAACTACGACGCTTCGATCGTCATCATCTTGATGACGATCGCATGAGTCATGATCGAAACGTCGTAGTTTTTTCATTCTCCTGATGACGATCGCTTGAGTTATGATCGAAACGTCGTAGTTTTTGTTATTTTTTGTTATTTTCTTTGAACCCATCTACGTGACTTTACCGAAAGAGCCACATAATATGAATTCCTGCAGTCACAAAAGCTTGAAGTCAACTACTTTTATATAATTTTTATTTATTTTTAGTGACTTACCTATTCCATATTTTTCACTCCTGTCGTTTTTTTTTATTGTTGCTGTCGCGTGCTGGCCCGCCCCCCGTACTGAACATCTGCGACAAGGAGCTTCATAGCTCATCGGATTCCTCCGGGATATAAGAAAGATTCCCGATGCTGAAAAAGACGAGACGAGGGTTCTACACGTGGCATGAGACGAGCGTTCTGTGTGAGTTTCTGCTTCCAATGAGGCCGACTCGATCCAATATTCACTCGTGTCCGTCCGAACGCAGATCCACAATTTGTGGAACTTCGCGCGTTAACTGCAACCTGATTAATGTCTGACTCCCCTTCGCTCCGGATTCAAATGCAAATGCCGCATTAATATGCAGATTAGTAATCGCCAAGGTTCTCTCTATTTTTTTAAAAGATCCTGCTAAAATTAATGCCCCCCCTCCCCGCCGAAAGTAATTGAATTGGGGGTGGGCGTAGGGGGGGAGGGGTAGGAATAAACGCCTGGTTGTTCGAGGTCGTTTTTGAAATGTTTCATCGATTGTTTAATAATTGTGGTCATTTTCACCGGCGCCAGGCAGCGTGATGGGTTCGTGGTGTCCGTGCGTGGTAACCTGCCGGACCACCCCTCCCTACCCCTTTTGCCTTAACTCGAGGGTCGGTAAATTCGTCCCAGCTACCGACATTCTTTTGAGGACTTTTAACTTTCGTGACTGCAGGAATTCATATCACTGTGGTTATTTCGGTAAAGTTACGTGGATAGGGAAACAAACTCACAATAATAAAATAATAAAAATAAAGTGACAAAAAATATCACGTGACTTTACCGACATCCTCTCCGCACTTTCGTGAGACCAGATGTCCTCACACGCCGTGGGGGGAAACAATGAGGAGGAGGGGGGGTGGTGTGCGTGTGCTTTCACGACCAAGTGTCCATGATCATCGAGGGCTCACTGTTTAACAATTCGACACGTGGAGCAACCTTCCACGTGGTTCAGCCGCACTCAGGAATTGGATGTTTGCGGATGTTTGTTTTTTGTTTGTTTCTGTGTCCTGCTGTAGGAACGCTCTCTCTCTCTCTGTGCTTCGCTGGTGTGTCCATGTCGTTGACAATAAAACAAATATCTATATAAAACGAGGGGGGGAAATAGCAATAATACTCTTAGGTTTTTTTGGTAAAGTCACGTAGGTAAAATTAAAAATAAATAATAGAAATAATAGAAATAATGAAATCATTTCTACTATTTGTATTATTTATTTTTATTTAAAATAATAGAAAAAATAATATTATTTCTATTATTTTTCTTATTTATTTTTATTTTTACCTACGTGACTTTACCGAAAAAACCTAAGAGTATGAATCCTTGCAGTCACGAAAGCTTCAAATCTAGAATAAATAACAATTAAACACATGCCACGAAGGGTCATTGCCCGTAACGTCGCCTATTTTTTGTTCGTTTCAGACCACACGGTTAGCTACGTACGGCGCGAAAGAAGTTCAACACACACACGCGTGGTTCTTGAACGAATGTGTCATCGAGTTAATATACATATCGTGCTTCTATGGAGAGGGTACAAACTAGAATAGGTTTCGTTGCCATGGTCACAGTGAGTGATAACGTTGGCGTGATATGATTACAATGATATGATCATTAAGCGCCGAGGCTTGAATGCATTAACAAGAGCGGTACACACGCAGCGTTTGCGACGTTGAGAAAGTGTGAGCGTTTTGGGGGCAACATTGATTTTGTTTGAAGTACATCGTTACCACAGCGCTGGAAATTCCACATTGCTATGCAGAGGCGTAGCTAGGGGGGGGGGCAGGGGGGTACATATGTCCCCGGGCTCCAAGGTAAAGGGGCGCCAACATGAGGCTTGCAACGTCACATTAGAACTTATTGCGGCGGGCGCGGCAGCCTGAAACTACTGCACAAATCTACACCTCAACCTAAAAGTTTATATATCCCGCCACACACAGCCTACGTGTCATGTAATTACATTTTGGTACGCGCGCCTATTAAGAACTTACATGGAAGAACGTCCCAAACAACAGACAGGCGCAAGTCTTTCAGCCTTAGTCACTGGCTTGTTTTTTGGTGGCGGAAACTACGACGGCCTATTTTTAAATCCTTTATATTAAGTTCACTTGCTTGCGCGCTTACGACAGTGCAAATCTTTCGGTCGTTTTTTAACCCACTTCCCGTGATCCAATCGAGCTGACATTTTGCACACAGACTCGTTGTGCGTGACAATTTATTTTCGTGAAAATTTTTTTCCAAAATGTTACACTTTTTAGTAAAAAAATTTTTATATTTAATTACCAATTGCTTAATGGTGGCAGTCAATCATCTGACCCATAGGTGGCAGCCATCTCAAGCCAGAGGACGAGAGGACTCTAGCCGCCACGCATATAAAGGATTTATAGTGAAAAACTTTGTTTTTACGGGTTAATTTTTTAGTT